CCCCCCCCCCCTCGACCGTTTCTCTCTGCCCGATTTACTCTGCAGCAGTAGCAGCAGAAGTGACGGTGTCGAGAAGAACGGCGTAATAATCGTCTCGTCGAGGACTTTTATGCGAAACCGCATTCTTGTTTTTAGTCGTGCGTTTTTTTTGTGGGGGTAATCAAGCTTCGAAATCAGTCCAGGGGGCATGGCATCTGATGCGACGAAGGGGTACTTTTGTCTATCCACACTTATGTCGCGGGTGCCCCAAATGTTGGTGTGAAGAAGGGAAGGGAGAGAGCAAACACACGGCGGTAGATGCGCCCTGTCAGAGAAAAATCACACCAGGAGGACGCCGGTTGTTTGTTAGCGTGTGTTTCGCTTTGCACTCCTTTTTTCCTCTCCCTCCATCACAAGCCTCCGGCCGCAAGCCGTGCAAGTTTCCCGCAAGGTAGATGTTTTGGGATTTGAGTACAAGGACCTCAGCGGTTGTTCTAGGTTACACTTGTAGGCTTGGCGGGGAAATCGCAACTCCCTGGGAAGGTGTTCCTTCATATTCTCCGACAAGCTAATCTACGGGGTCTTCAGGGATAGCTACGTGTGTGAACCTCACCATACAGCTACAGTACCTCATGGTTGTGGGTGCTACAGTACCTCTGCCCCCTCCCCTGCGACGTCCTTTCGCTGTTTGCTGTCGAACGCTGGGGATGCGAAAATCGAACGGCACGGCGCGTTACCCCCCGAGGATATCGTTGGAGCACACTGGTGGAACCCAGACGATCAAGGGTCTACATTGCGGATGTAGATAACGAGATAGCGCTACGTTTCCTCGACTTGGTGCTGAGGAGGCAGTTTCGATGCTCAGAAACGCGACTTTCTTCAGCGTAATCCCTGATATCTGTTCGTATTCACGTGCAAGGAGAGCGGCTAGGCCGCATGATCAAGAGCGCGTACAAATGGGATAGGAAATATGTTTGACGCATGATGGAGTCACGGCCGTCGGGAACATGGGATGACCCCCCCCCATCTCCGCACCTCTGCGTGGCGGGGTGATGGTCGATGTCGCCTTCTCTCTGGACAGATATTGGTCACCGGAGCCATGGATGGGGAGGTCCGTCTTCACAAGGCGCCGTTCTCTTCGCCCGAGCTGACAGAGTGCTTCTCGTGCCACGACCAACGCGTGCACGCTGTTGAGGTGAGATACGCACCCAAGACGGTGAAACAGCGCCACCAGACAACAGCACCCAAGGCCTTTCAGAGGTTGTCGAGTGCGCTGCCTGGTTGCTGGTTGGCACTCTTCATCCAGCGGTGCTCGTGTGGAAACTAACCGTGGTTCCGATTCGGGTGGCCGTCGCGGTCTTCTCGACCCCGCCCCGCAAATATGAAAGAACGGATTTTTCTTCTCGACAGTTCCTATCGAACGTTTAGCTTTTGCAAGCAGCTCAAATAGACGGGAGAAAAGGCAGAATTTGCTTTTGTAGTTGCATCTTTACCTTTTCACCCTTCTCCCATCTCCCCCGTCCCATGCAGGTGGAGCCGGGCAACCCGTTCATCTTCTGGTCCGCCAGCGAAGACGGGACTGTCATGTACGTACCGAGGCGTGCCTTCTCCCAGAACTCTTGTCTTGTTTGTTGCTGGCTTTTCACGGCCGAGTTGCCTCGCGCAGGCCCTCCAGGTCTAGCTTCGTCGAAGGCCGGATCTCCGTGCGTTTTCCTGACTTTGGTCTATAACATTTAGCCTCGGAATTCATGACCATGTCCGTTTTCCTTGGAGGTCCTTTCCTCTGTATTGTGACCCAGCGGGGAACAGTCTCGAGTTTTGCACCACTTGCTTCAGGCCAGAACTGTTGCTCATTCGAAAGCATTAACGACAACGCTACGAGCCAGGCCCTTGCGGTAGGTAGATTCTCGATGCAAAGGCTAACAGTTTTTGTTTTTTTGTATGAAGAGTGTGTCGCTGTGGCAATGTCTCTCTTGTTCCTCCACCGATTTGATGAGACGCTATTTCCGAAGAAGTGCGTTCGTTCCAGAGAGCGTGTGTCAAGGCTCTCCCCCTGACGGAGTTGCTTGAATTTAGAAAAGAACAACGCTCACGACGGGTATGTTCCTTGTAGTTTTTTTTTGGCACAGACGAACACCACGTGTGCTGGAAGTGTACTCGGAGACTCGAGTGAGAGGATTGAAACCGCCACTCGTTTCCGCCACCGGTACTTTTCTGGCTTCTACTTGTCATATCCATTTTTTCGGACGTTGCTCAAATGGGGAGGCCGTTGTCTCCCAGTTTTCTGCATGTAACGGCAGACCCTGGGAGTTATGACCTGGGGACCCAACAGTTGAGAGCTTGACCGTCAGTACAGGTGCTAGGAATCCTGCTCTTTTGATACATTCAAAGCCGTTGAGTTCGTTACCTCACGGAGTTGCTTGAGTGGTGGCGTGTTCTACACGGTAGCTCGTGAAAACCGAGGGCAGATGTGCACTAGTGCGGCGTCATGGCCGTGGTCGACAAGCCGGCACCGTAGTCTTGCGTTTTCTCGCTCTCGCTTCGCTGTCTCATCGACACTGCTGTCGCGTGCATCCCATTGGCTGGCAGGCAATACGACCGCCGTCTGCCGAACGCTGGCCTCGGGGAGGGGAGGGGGTGGGCGGACAGCGGGCAAGGCTCCCTCGCGGTACGTTCCACGGGCACGTGCGCGTTGTTGTCCGAAAACCGCGGCGTCGCCGTTCAGTAGTGCCAGCTTTGTTTCGATGATGTGTGCATGCCATCGCCGGCTCATGAGGATGAGCGGTTTTGCCAGAGAACTGATACCGCCGCTAACAAGGCAGAGTTTTGAAGATTGGTTCGGGGAAGTGTGGTACCTTGCGCAACGTACGCTTACTCGTTGCTCGGGCTATCCGCCTGCGTTGGCCCGCTAGCCGCTGACCGTAGAGGTGGTTTCCCTTGGTTGTTCTTCTCCCCGCACAGCTTTTTTCGTGCGCGTAGGGCATCCAGCGTCATCTTGCCGCTCGCGATAGCGTACCATGATCTTTCCCACCGATAGAATGGTTCCGTTTTGCGCCGATTGGGGCGGGGGCAAGATTTTCAGTCACGGGCCGGGAGCGACAGGCAGATCACAGCAGTCGTGGCGACTATTGGCATGGGTAACGGCGTGAGTGTGGGTGGTGTTGCTTGCCCGACTGCCTGCCAGTCTTTCGGCAAGGGTGGTGTTCTCCCTCGTGACCTCCCTCCTCATCGACCGAACTATTTCCCCCCTCCCCGCAAGCCTGGTCCGGTGAGAACCCGGCGTGCTCCGTCCCGGCTTTGTAGGGATGCGGGGTCAATCGTGTAAAGACTACAGCATGCACGACTATGATTACCCCCCCCCCCCCTTCCCGCACGCCTCCAACGACACGGAAGGGGCGACTGCGACGCAGGAGAAACTGGGGCAACTGCCTCCTCAAGCTACCGTCGCAGGCTGATTACGCCGCCGGCGGTGGCGACAGCGGCCAAGGCGGGGGTGTTTCGCAGCAGCAGCCGCCATCAGGATGGGAGGCCCGCGGCAGCCGAGCGTTTCACCTCGCCTGTAACCCCGTTGACGTTCACTACCTCGCCGTGGCCTGCGGTGACTACGTCGCCAGGGTGTACGACAGGAGGTGCGGCGGGGATTGAGGTTCGGGTTTTCGGGGCCGTTGGGCAAGGGGGAGATGATAAGGGACCGCGCCTCCGCGAGAAATTACGTTAATATGGAAACAGAACAAGGAGGGGGTCACAGACCGTCCCCGTAACCCCAACCTTAACCCAACTTCCCCGATCGCGTGCTTTTTCCAACATGTTGACTTGGTAAAATATACTTGCGAAGGATACTGAGGCTAGGCCAGGATGTCCTCTGAGCGGCAGCTCACGGGCGGCCGACGGCGTGGCACATGACCAGAAAATCGGTTGTTGATAGCTTGTTTAGTCAATGTCTGCGTAAGGGTGCCCGTGGTTTTCTTTCGGGTTGTTCTCGTGCCGAGAATCGGGTCGATCTTCCACGGCGTCGAACGAACGCACCAAACAACACGGAGAAAGATGTCGCGAAGAATGTCACCCCCCTTTCGCACGGGCTTGGCCGTTCGGTACCTCGACTCAGCCGAGACGCGGCTTTGAGACACACTTCTCGCTCGTTTTCTCGGCGACCGTCCCCGCCACGCCCATCACTAAAACCACGCCACGCGACAGTAATTGTCCCACGTCGACACCAGCCGCGACATGTTCACTCCTCCTTTTCTCGAGGCAGGGTGCTCTCGGCCGGGTACATTGACACGTCTAGCAGCGGCGACGGCGGCGGCGGCAACCGTGGTCGCCAGCCGCCGCCGGCCCTATCGCTCTGTCCGGTGAGTGAACACCCGGCGGCGGGGAAGGCTTCTTCCGGCGCCTCGTCGTCGTCTTCTTCCGGTATGGGGAGCAGTGCCCGCGGAGGAAGTGTGGGGACGTTCGGCACCGCGCGCCACGCCACGTGCGTGGCGTTCAGCCCCGATGGGCGGGGGCTGCTGGTGAGCGCGGCAAAAACGGGGAAGCTTTAGCTCCCGGAGTTGGCTGTGCTTTGATGAGGTGTTCTGTGATCGGCGGGTCTGGGTAGGAAGGATGACGTCGAGGGAGGTGACGATTTGTGTTTTGGGTGCCATTTCGTTGTGGGTGGCGAAGGTGCCCCTTTGCTCCGGCATGTGTAAGTCCGGGTCTAGATGAAGGGCTGTTGGCGCCGGTTCAATCGAAGAGGTAGTAGGGGTGGGGGATACTTGGCGATCCCGCACCCGTGTGGGGCGATTTCACCGCCAGTACCCTCTTCGATGGGCATGGCAGACACGACCGCACTGTCATGCTAGATTTTCATGGCAGAAAACGACTCGCACGTGCAAGTTGCAGTCAACGAAAACTGAACAAGCCCTAAGCCACCACGGAACAGCGGTAGCATGTCTTGTACAATTCTAGGGGTACTGTTGCTTCTTCAGTCTTCAGTGTGTTTCGGGAGGGCAGAATGTCTTCGAGCATGCGTTTCATGAAATCAACGAATCTCGTGTTTCCGAGGAAAAAAATGGACCGATGTCTGTCTCCGAAACCTCCAAGTCACACAAGTCGTCACCGACGCTACCTGGAGATCCGGTAGACTTCTCACCTGCTGCCGACGTTGCGGACCCATGCATCCGATCGGCGTTTATCGACACACGCGCTGCAGGTGTCGTACCACCGTGACCACGTCTACCTCTTCGACGCCACGGGGGCAAGACGGAATAGCTCGGCGGTCAGCGACCCGGCCCTCTCCTCCTACTTCATGCCCGCTCTTCCTCCACCTCTACCGCCGCCCCCGACAACGCCGGAGTGCTCGTCGAACACCGGTAGCGGCGTCGGTGGTAGCGGGGATGTCGGGGGTGAGTGTGGAGTCGCCCGTGGTCGGGGCTTTGAAGACCCCGCTGATGGGATTCTGGATGCCCACCGTGCTCTCTTGGCGTGGGATGGCAAAGGAGGTGCGTACAGCTGCTCAGAGAAGCTTCAAGAGACTTTTCCCGAGTTTTTGCATGCTGTGTCACGTTTTGTGCTTGCTTCTTTTGAGCTGCATGTTGGGCGTTGCAACGCACGAAGGTCTGCGGCAATGTAGAACAGCCATTTCAGGGGCGTGGCTTGTTCTGCTACATAACTTGGTGTTGTCATTGCAACAGGTAGGTGACTTGTAGAGTGCCGCCAGTATGATCCAAAGTTGGATTTGCTGCATTCAGCACTTGTTTTGGATGTGACATACCATGGTGTGGCTTGGCTGCTGCTACCAACTCTAGCCTTTCCGGCCTCTGTGGCAGAGGCTTTGAGGACTTTCTGTCGCTCGCATTCAAAGGGAATACGTGCCGCCACGCTTCTTGGACGAGACCTTTCGAAGCAGACGGTTTGCGTCGTTGTCCATCAGTGGCTTGCCAGAAACCACCTTGCCCCGCGTTTGATGCTCAGGCATGCATTCTCGTGGCTCAATCGTTCATCCTCCTTTGCTCGTAGGTCCCGCAAACACGCCATATTTCGCCGAAACACCCGCCGTATTGTTACAGCGACAAAATGTTCGGCGGCGGCGGCTCGCTGTCCTCCCGCGCTTCGCGGAGAACGCTCATTTTGTTCTCCCCTGTCGTGCATCGCAGAGTGAAATATCGATGGCGCGTCCTGCCTCCCTTTGGCCCGACTTGCATTCCCCCTTTGCCTCTGGACATGCTTTTCCCGTGGTCACCTATCTTCTGCACGTGCATTAGCCCGATCAAGGCGACCGACACTAGAACGATCCAAGGCTTAGGAAAGCTTTTCACACTCTTTTTGCACTCCCGCTCGCAAGTCAAGCCCTCCTACCATCTCCGCAATAGTGGGTGACGATTGCCGTGCACACCAATCAAACCACCCTGTTCGCCTGCCGTGCTGACGCAGGGCCACCGGTGTCCCTGGCAAAGCTGAGCACTCTCTACCGGGCGCGTTCCATGAACCTACGGCAGCGTGGGTGGAAAGGCGACGGTTACATGGCTCTGCTCGACTCCGCTCGTGCCAAGGAGCTCGACCCTACCAAGCCGAGAACGCGCTGGGAGTGAGTTGCGATGGGGCGTGGGTGTGATGGAGACAAGCAGCGCCGGGCGTTTGGCTGAAGGGAGTGTGTGGGTCCTTGTTGTTCAACACGCCGGCAAACTTGGCGACCTGTTGATCGAGCTATTCACCGTGCCATAATGCATACCACCACCGCCACCGGTGCCCGCGAGTTTCCGTCCCGTCATTCGTGTACCGTGGACAACACCGACGGCTCTAAGACGGTCCTTCTCTCCGCGGCAATCCATCAGATTACGAAAGAGACGCAACAAAAGAAGAGCATGAGACGTGCCGCACGAGAGGCTACTACTGCTGCATCCTTTCTCGTCCTGATGTCGGCACCCGCGGGGACCACACCCCTCTTTGCTTCTGTACCCCTTTTCGACCTGATGCCACCACACGCGCGAGCCGCACCTCTCTTTGCTGCTGTCCCCTTATACGGCCTGGCGTCACCAATCGCTCGGGCCGCACCCCTCGGTCTCTTTTTCGTTGACGCCGTCGCTCTTCCCAGGTACGTACAGGCCCTAGTTCACGTCGGGCGCCGCGCCTCAGCGCGAGCGGAGGCGGTCAAGTGCCTGGCCGCCTTCCCCGACCTCCAACCGCTTTACGAGGCCGAGTTCTCGGGCAGGACCGAGGGGGAATCGCCCCCGCGGTCGGACTTGGGCGGCAGAAATGTAGGGGGACGGAGTGCCAGCGGCGGCGGCGGGCGAGGGGCCAGTGCTTCTGGTGAACCGGTTGAGGATGAGGATGAGGATGAGGAGGAGGAGGAGGAGGAAGCGGAGGAGGAGGCGGAGGAAGGAGAGGAAGAGAGAAGGCGGGAGAGGAACCAGTCCATGACGCCGCCGAGAGGGGTCGGAAAAGTTAATGCCGTTTCTTGTCGATTGGCCCCCTACAGAGTGAACACAGGGAATGACGTCCGCCGAGGACGCGCTTGCGCTTGCTGTTACAAGCGCGGCGTGTCGTTTTGGTTGCCGATTCGTCGCTGACCCGGAGTGTACGGTCTGATTCGGGGGTCGTTTCGTCGTCATTGCTGGATGTGGGGTCCACTGCCACGAGATAGACAATCAGCGCGCGCCACCCGAAAACCAAAATGTTTTTCCTTTATAAATTATGAAATCGGTTTTGTTCATGGTAAATGCAACGTTAAGAAGATGTTGAACATTATCCTCACGAAAACCTTTGTATTTCGTCTTGGTTTCCCAACTGATGCAGGAAGGAGAGAGGGTTGCGGCAGAGTTTGTTTTTCTTTGGTGGTGGCGCGCTCTTTGTAGCCTATGTCGGGGTGTTGATGTTGATGTTGATGTTGATGCCGATGTCGATGGAGCATGCCTTTTGGTTACGCAAATCAAGCCATCAAGCAAAAGTCAGGACTCTGATCGCCGCGCCGAAGTCGTGCGCTCGCTTTCGGCCAAACCAACGTCAGCATGTGATCCCACGATTCCCAGATATGTCCACCGCACATGACCTCCCCGCGCTCGTTGAACTCTTTTGTCCCCCCCACCCTGTTCTTTTTTCGTTTGGCTCGTAGACAGCGCGCTTTTCTCGCGGAAGCACCCTCGCCAATGACCTCGCCCTCACCGCGGAGCTTGCAACGGCCCGCGCGTGGCATGAGATGCTTTCTCGAACTGGGGACGTCGGGAGTGATCCCCGTTGCCCCGATAGGGCTACCGACTGCGGGAGAGAGAAGGGTGCGGGTACGGCGAAGGGGCCCGTGGCCGAGGAAGATTGGACCGAAAGCGAATGTGGTCAGAGGTGAGTTGCGTGGTGGCGCTCGTTGCCAGACTGTGGAAGGTCTGGTAGTTGTCTGTACGCTTGTTGGCTTAGGGCGCGGTAGATGGAGCATGCCTCCTGTGCTGACCCAGCTCGGTTCAAACATTGTTGAGGACCATGATGTGCAGCATAGAGGGCATGTGTAGAGGGTCTCTCGCGTGCGAACCCGCGCTTCTATCCCGGAGTTTTCAACAGAGGAGGGGCGCCGTAGCTAGTTGGGGGCGGTGTTGGACGTCATTTCCCGCCACAACAGGCGCGCGCGGATGATGTTTCGTCTTGAATGAGGTGTTTTTCAAGTTCTTCATAGAAACAAAGCGCACGAAAAACAAGGAATCACGCCGTCTTGGAATCAAGGCCTCAGTTGTAGCGGACCTTGCGAAACTCATCCCGCTGGTGAATTTTCACAGCGACTGGCACACCAATGACCACAAAACTGCGGCCCTATTGACGACAAAGCCGAGGAAGGATGCCTCAAGCCTCCAAATACAGATCAACCTCCCTCACAACTCCTTTCAAATACACGTTTCAGATCGTCGGATATGCTCAACTGCTCGCCACGAGCAATGATCCAGCGGTACACCGGCGCTTGCAACGTCCAGACTGTCATCAAGGAGGCCTCTTTCCTCGGGGATGGCGGGGGCTACGTGGCTTCGGGCAGCGACGACGGGAGGTGCGGCGAGGCGAACCCACCACAACGCTGTGATGCAAACGCGCACTTCCATATGCACAGCAGTCGTCCTAATCGCCGAAATTTATATTCATTCGTTTCTGTTTATGTGCGCAGGCCCGAGAATGTTTGCCTGTAGTATAGTTGGTGGCTCTGAGCCAAATCATGGAAATGCATCTCCTTACCATTCAGCTCTCGAAGCAGTGACAGTGCGAGCGTGGCACCGACATCATCGGTGTCGTGTTTTTGGTTTTGCGAACGTCTCACTCGCTCTCTCTACAAAGGGCATGCACGTCGCCGAAACACCCAGGTTCTCGTGCCTATGTAGTTTTGTTTCATTTCGTTCCGTTAAGTATTTATCAAGAGAATTTTTCTGGGAAATACACCAGGATACCATGGCATATTTGACGACGTGGTGTATCGCCTTAGTCTTGATCAATGACGAGTAAAGATGGCGTTTGGCGTTGAACGTGTGCTTCTGCTTGCTTGCCGTGAAATGCGTGCGGTGGACGTCATCCCGAACCGCAGAGTGTTTATCTGGGAGCGCTCCTCCGGGAGGCTGGTTCGGGCGATCAAGGCCGACGACCAGATCGTCAACTGCGTTGCGCCGCACCCTTCCCTGCCGGTGATCGCCACCAGGTAAGTGCGGTGTTTTAATCACTTTCACTCGGGTTTACCGTATTGTATGCGGTACAACCAAATGGCCAGCAGCCGTATTCCGCACCCGTCCCCGCGGTGCTGGCCACCAGCTACCCGTCCTGGCCTTTCTGCTCGGTAGGTAAGCTCATGGCCACCTGCGGCTCTAGGGTGGAACACCCAGAATTGCGCCGAACGATCGAGGGTTTTCGCATAGAACAAGCTCGTGAAAAATCAAATTACTTCGCTGTTGGTTTGTAGCCTGGAAAACTTTGATCGTGCGAATGAGGATCGTCGATGGTACCGACTTTCGGTGACTCGTTGATGGAACCACCACTTATGGGAGCGAGTCAGCCACGCGCTCTCGGTTTCCGATACCATCCGGGGGAGCCTCCCAAGGCTTTGGTTGAGGGCACAGCTTATTTCGGTCCCACATCTATCGCCTCATTGGTTTCGGGGGGAGGTTGTTTCACTTGTTTGTGTTTCGTTCGCGTTGTTTTTTCTTCGTTCGTTGCTTTCAAGATTATCGTCGGCTCGACGAACGGGATGTTGTTGTCGCTGGTTCACTTCGCGAGGAAAGTGCCGATTCAAAAATGTGTTCAACAAGAAGGCGCGTGGCTTCAGTGAGCGAGGACCACGGGTTGTTCTGACCTCCAGTTCTTTCGCTGTCAAAACTGTCTGACCAACCTTGATCCAACCGCTGCCCACTTCGAACGGGGCAGGGAGAGCCCTAGTGGAAAGAATATGGGCACCATTTGCCGTGGCCAATGCTGGAACAAATTCAATTGCCTCGACCTCGACGGCCTATCTGTCATTCGCCTCGAGCTTGCCTTCACTGTCCTCACCTCCAATGTTTGACTTTTGTTCGCCGACCTTGGTTGCCGGTGCCAGTGTGCGTGCCTTTTGACTGACACCTTTCCCTTCACGCCTCCGACGTGTTGTCCGGCAAACCTTCACCCGCGTCCGGCTACCCGTCGCCGATCTTGCTGCGCCGCCCAGCGGACTCGAAAGCGTGGTCAGGCTTTGGAGTCCTCGCGGAGAGGAAGAGGAAGTAATCGGGGACGACGAGGCCGCCGACTCAGACCCAGACTCTCGCTCCCTGGAAGACATCGCCCAGAGCAACCAGGGCAGCATGGATTCTGGTGAGGCCCTCTCTCGGGCAACCTTGGCCTCTGCAGCGGTGGCGCTACTTTTGACGGCCGGTCGAGTCGTCCTTGCCGGGCATGTTTGTGAGGGCCACGTGCACGTTACCAATGAACGCAGCGTGTGTTGCCAGACTGAGAGAAGAGTCTGCATGAGACCCGCGGCTGCCGTTGTCTCTCGCGCCGTCGGTTGCGCTGCTGCACCTTGACCGGTGCCTTACTTTTCGTCAGCAAACGCCCGGGATCGGATCAGGCGTTTCGTATGGGGGAAAAAGTGTCTACAGTTGCGCCGGTTTTTGGTGGGCTTCGCGGATAGCAATATTTTGTTCCTGCGACCCACCCCATGGTCCCGTCCTCCCACGCAAAATATGACACGACTTGGGCCAGCACGAGCCCTGATTATAAACCTACTCCCAGATCAGCTACTATGGAGACATAAGATGCCCGACCGTCCCTACACATATACGATTTCTCCTGGTAATTTCGTCTTCGAAACAAGTTTTGTTCACCGGTATTTGGGTGTTTGTGTAGTGTCCGTACGGTACAAGACTGACTGATGTCCGCCATCCCTTTTTTCCCGCCCTGGTCTTCTCAATTTTTTTTCTTCGATTTCTGCGGGCCGATACGTGAATGTCCTGCTTGTATTGGAATTTCGGACCCGATCACTTCTCATTGGAGATGCTCAATGAATCAACTAGATTGCACCGAACTCCCGAGCCTTACATTGTGAAGTCTGACCCCCTGACTCGGACTTGTGACTGATGACCTTCGCATGCTTTCCTACACTGTCGCTTCCTTCTCTTGCCTTCAGTGGGAGTGAACTTAGGGTTCCAGCCGCTGATGCACCAGCTCGTTCTCCAGCTTGCTGCGGCGGAGAACATGGGTGACGACAGAGGGCCCGGGGAGTGCGTTCAGGCGTAACAACTCGTGCCGCCGCCTGCTACACGCGACCGAGCTGTGGATGCTTGCTCCCTCCTGCACGACTGTCACGTCAAATCTTGACTGTGTTTCTCGGCACGATCAACAAGGTTGTTCGTCTTTTTGATGGTTGTTTTCGGTGTGATGCGGTCCGACCGACCAAGCGGTGGTATTGGACGAATACGTGTGTATGTATTTCGGTTGTTTGGGATCTGGGCGCCGTGTTTTGAGTCCATACCATCGCTTCAGCCTGCACGACTGAACAGGACACCCTTCGATGTTTTGTTTTCGTTTGTCTTGTTTTGGTTCCGAGGTTCTTTCGTATGAGGACAAAGCGTTCGCGATTTCTGCATCGACACTGGAGCGCCAACGGAAAGAATGAAGTTTATGCCCTTCAGCTGACGAGCCATTACCATTTCAGATGCAAACAAACCTCCGTACACCACTTATCATTCTTGAGGGCCCACATGAGCTTAGTTTTTTCAGAATATTTGGTTCATTTCAACTTCAAGTATATACCGTGATTTTTCTTTCTTTCGTGGAACGGGGAGTGACGTTTGGAGTCAACTCCGTTGTATTCCGTCTACCCGGTACTGCACATGGCTCCATCTTTGTGCGGCTGTTTCCAACTATCTTTTCGATATCGTAAGAGCCGAGACTTTGCGTGAACCACGCTATCCATGCTGCAAGCTAAGTGATCGGTAGCACTTTTTCAACACACCACACATCACTGGAGCGTTGCGTGGCCGCGTTTCACTGCTCACGCGCGTAAACCGCTGTAAAAATAAGGTCACCATGGGCGCAAAGAATCTTTGCATCCTCTCCAATGCACAAGACCACAGCAGCGGCATAAATTCGACATGCGCCTCTCTCGCAGATCTCTACGGGCGTGAAACATGTCATGTTGTTGTATATGTCCGCGACTTGGAAGGGAGAGACTGAATATCGCTTGTATTAGAAACGCAGAAGCAAGAGAAGAGAAGAAGAAGGCTTCCGGAAAACAGAGAAGCAGAGGTCACAAACACAAGAACCCCAAAATGGTATGTCAACGTTCCTATCTGCGAATATATCCGTTACTGCGGTCGATCAATACCTGTCCGTATCCAAACACACGAACACCCTCCCTGGTTTTTCACGCAAGTGGCAAACCATCCGTGGGGCATGGTTATCCCTGATCAGACCTAGGGACTCTAAACAGTAACGGTGCAAGGGAAAACCCGGCCATCCGGATCAAAAACCCTCGCCTACCCTAAACATATATAACCGTCGCTATCACGGAGGATTCCAACGGCCGCACTTCCAAGACAAGATCAAGGCAGGACAAATTGTACCGGGCACGGGGATTACGCATCTCTCGGTAGCGCTACGGGCGCTTCTAGGCTCCAACCTCGAGTGACGTGCCGGTAAATCCTTCCTGCGTGACGTACCATGATCATAAAGTCCAGTGCTAAACAACAA